CGGCTCCTGCGGCCGCAGCGCCCCGTCGCAGACCATCACAATGCACTCGGACAGCTCCACGAGTTCCTTCATGCACTGCCGAAACTCCTGCTCATGGCAACGAAGAAGAAGCGCCTCGGTCTGCAGGAACATAGGGAGCGCCGCCATGCGCGCCTTAAAGGAGTCGTTTCGGTGCGTCGCCGTCCCGTCATTCGTCTTCTCATCCTCCGTGTCACTGTACACATGCGACATCGCCTCGATCTCCTCGCGGCTTAGCAGCGTCATCTTCTCCAAACACCACCGCGGAATACCACTGCACACATCCTCAATGGTGCCGTCACTCGCGTCCTTCGTCCCCATTTGCCACTGCACACTGATGCCAAAGGATAAAGTGCGGCAACACTCTTCACACCTACCTTCAGAAGGGATGTTGATGTGTCTTACTTCGCGTCTTTATATATATATATATATATAAACTCTCGTGTGAGACTACGCAGCTCCCCTGCTGCTGAAGCAGCCCAGACGTAAATACACGGAGTGCGTGAAAAAAAGAGAGAACACCGAATAGGCGTCACACAAAGGAAGGTGCAGTCACCCACCTAAGGAAGAAGGATCCAACAGGTGCCACGCCATGAAAAGAGCACACGTAAGAAAGTGAGAGAAGCGGAGGAATAGAGCGATGAGCACAGGGGGCGTGTATACACCGAAAGCGTGAAAAAAAAATATATTCTCCGCTCCCCCCCCCCTCAGACCATCTATTGAACATCTGTCTCACTTGCGGTACTTTTCCAAGTCCTTCGTGTGATTTTCCTTCTGCAGCAGGGCGATACTCTCCGCGTAGGCGCTGGAGTGCTGCTGCCGCTGCGACTCCATACGTTCGCGCCGGTGATTAACCAACGCCTTTCTCGTGCGAAGGACCTTGTCCACGTCCTCCCACACACCCCCTAGCAGTTGCTGCGCCCTGGCGTTGTCCGTTTCCAGGGCGAAATGAATGTCAGCATAGAGGCGCGTCTTCGTCCGCCGTTCCTGCGCCAGTGTGGGTGGCAGCTGGCCAGAGTCACCCGTTGCCTCACTGCCGCCGTTGGTACTGTCGCCGACCCACCCGGTTTGGCCCTCCTCGTCTGCAACCCACAAAGCATGCTCCTTCGCAATCTGTCGAATGCTGCCAGAACGGTGCTGGAACTGCTGGCACAAGCGATCCGTTGCGGTGGCGTGTTGCTGCTCCACCGATGCGGGGCGCGGTGGCGATAGCGATAGCGGTTTACTCATCGCCACTGACCGCCTCAGACGTGAGCGAGCAATGCAGCCACCACTGCTACGTCGCTCCTCATTGGCCACTGGCAGCGGTGGCGGTGGCGTCCGCAGCCTCTTTTCTTCCGCCTCCTCCCCTTTCTCCTCGTCGCTTCCGCAAGAAGAAGTGGAGGACGACGGCTGGCACCGCACATCGTCGAGCATCTCGAGGCGTGGACAGCATGCAATGATTCGCTGCCGGTACGCCTCGCGCCCTTCCTCGGAAGCCGCCGTGGCGCCGCAGCACGGATTGCCGAGCAGCGCAAGGTACTGCAGCGACTCTCGCGGCAGGTCTAACGCTGGGTCCAACACTGCGATGGCGTTCTCACGTGCGTCCAAAAAGCGCAGTGCGCCGAGACCCGCGAGTGGCCGCAGCGTCTCCACGGCGTTATGGTGCACAACGAGGACAGTGAGCTGCGTGAGCAACGCGACGCCGTCGAGTGAGACGATGTCGTTGTGCTGTAGGTAGAGATGTGTAATATTTAAGAAACACTCCAGCAGAGTGGTGTCGTGGAGCCCGCGATCCTCCACGTGCAGCGTCGTGGTCGCAAGCACCGCGTCTGCCATGCTGTCGGTGCCGCCCACGAGCCCTTCGCGTGGAAGAATCTGCCGTAGCGTGACGCCGCGCTGCCGGCTCCCGCCCGCTGAGAAGCCTCGCGCCTTGCTTGTATTGCTCTTGCTGTTATCGTTGCTGCTGCCGCCACGGCCCTCCACTGGCGGTGGACCGTCGTCACCCACGTTGATTCGGTACAGCGCCTCGAGCTCAGCTGAAGTAAACTCCGAGGAATCGGTGCGCAAGAGAATGGCACCTTCATCTGTGCAGTTGTTGTTGCTGTCGTCATCATCATCGTCGTTTTCGCTGCTGTTGCTGGTCTTACCCTCATCTGGCCAGCCTGTGAGCATAGCACCCAGCGGCGCGCTATGTGTGTGTGTATGTGTCTCACCCTTGCCCTTCACGCAGATGCAGTTGATGCTGTGTGCAGCCGCACTGGCATGCCCAACACCACCGCTTTCCAAATGAGCGCACATGCGTTCACCATCACAGGACGAGGTGGCACAGGAGTCAGAAGACCCNAAAAAAAAAAAGAAAGAATAAGAAAATCACGGTTTGAAACACGAAAGCCACACCGGCAAGTCTAGCGACGCGTCACAACGCAACGCCACCACACACACACACCTACACAGAGAGAGCCGAGGGGGAGTTGATGGGGTGCTGTTTGAACCTTCACGTCTATGAGTACCGCATGCAAGCTCACGGTCGAAAAAAAAAAAATTTCACCGGTAACAGGTGCACACTTTCCAGGAAGCAAATTATTAGAACTCCCCACACCGTGCATCTCTCCCAATGCCAGACGTAATTTGTTCCTTATCACACACCTTTTTTCCCGCCGTTTCTCCATGAGTGTTAAAATATTTAACGAACTCTTGTCTTACCGGCGCAACCAGCGCCTTCTGTGTTTATATGCATGAATGCACGTATGTATGTATTTTTAAATATATAAAAATAAGCGGGGCCACTTATGTTTCAGCGCTTCCTGTCCCCACCGCGCGGTGGCTGCGAGCAGCGGCGGCGGTGGAGGGGAAAAGCACCAAGGCACGCATCCAAGAACAACAACAACAAAAAAAGAAAACACACACACTCCAAAACAAAAAAAAAAAAAAGAAGCATTACATCAACGTAATGAGGAGACCGCAACGAAAAAAAAAAAGAAAAGCGTACACAAACCCCCCCCAAAAAAAAAAACAAAAACAAATTAATGTCTACTCACCAGGACGACCACCCACCAAAACACTGCCACACACACACACACACACACGCACAGCACCAAAGGCAGGCAGCAAAAAAGAGAAGACCGCCGTTTTTTAGCCCGCAAGCACACAAACAGAGCAGAACACAATAAAAAAATCCAAACAAAAGAACACAAAAAAGATTCGAACGCTCAAAACAACGATTTTGTTTTTTAAAAGAGGGAAAAATCATCGAAAAAAACAACAACAATACAAAGAGACGTAAAGTCTGGCATAACGACATAAAAAGAAGAAACAGCAGCCATACTCACTTCGGGAAGCAGAAGGGCGTAAACAACAGCGTTGAGATGCAAGGCAGTGTGCGTTAAGCTATGGCGCCCCTTCGTTTCTTATTCTGCAGCAACAGCAATGCACTGCTGTCCCAAACAACAAAGGCGCCACACCCCGCACAACAGCACACCTTTCGGTAGCTTCTACGCAACCGTTGCACT